CTAGCACTTTGGGAGGCCAGAGTTGGTGGATCACTTGAGGCCAGGAGTTCAAGACCAGCTTGGCCAACAAGGTGAAACCCTATCTCTACTAAAAATACAAAGCTAGCCCGGCGTGGTGACACACACCTGTAATCCCAGCTGCTTTGGAGGCTGAGGCCGAGAATCACTTGAACCCAGAAGGCAGAGGTTGCAGTGAGCCAAGATCGCACCACTGCATTCCAGCCTGGGCGACAGAGCAAAACCCTGTCTCCAAAGATAAAAAAAATAAAACCCTCAAATGGACCAGTTTTCTTACTCTGAATAAAATGTGCTGATTTCTACATTTTAAAATGTACAAACAATTACAAAATTATTTTCTCCTCCTTTCTCATATTGTCTCATGAACTACTAATCATTTAATTCACTACTTATTCCTTAATTCTTTTTTTTTTTTTTTTGAGGTGATTATCATTATTATTGTTATTTGAGATAGGGTCTCTCCGTGTCACCCAGGCTGGAGTGCAGTGACACAGTCATTGCAAGGCTCATTGCAGCCTTGAACTCCTGGGCTCAAGCAATCCTCCCACCTTAGTCTCCCAAGTACCTGGGACTATATGCACACACTACCATGCCCAGATAATTATTTATTTGGTAGAGATGGGGGTCTCACTATGTGACCTGGCTGGTTTTGAACTGCTGGCCTCAAGCAATCTTCACACCTCAGCTTCCCAAAGTGCTGGGATTACAGGCATGAGCCACTATGCCCAGCCACCCTCCAGTATTTATTTCTTTTTTTTTTTTTTTTTTTTTTAACAGGCTGGAGTACAGTGGTGCTATTTTGGCTCACTGCAACCTCCACCTCCCAGGCTCAAGCAATTCTTGTGCCTCAGCCTCCTGAATAGCTGAGACTACAGGCGTGCACCACCATGCCTGGCTAGTTTTTTGTAGTTTTAGTAGACAGGGGGTTTTGCCACATTGCCTAGGCTGGTCTTGAACTCCTGAGCTCAGGCAATCCACCCCTCTCAGCCTCCCAAAGTGCTGGGATTACAGGTGTGAGCCAACCGCACCCAGCCATCCTCCAGTATTTCTAAAGCTGAGTTTCTCTACCAGTATCGAACAGCTTTTATATTTCTGCATTTAGCAAGTAATGATTGAAGAGCATCCAGACATGGAAATTTATATTTTGAGGCAAGTACCTCTATACACCAACCAAAGGTAAGATTGAGGCTAGATTCAAGCCCTGCATGGTACTGGGACTAAGAACCTCAAGGTAGATAAGAATCCCAGATCTAGAACCAGTACTTGAGGTTTAAGACTGAGAAGCAGCAGAAAATGCCTGGGGGGAAAAAAAAAATTCCCATTCATAGTATCAACTATAAGCTACCTTAAAAAAACGAGCAAAAGATGTACAAGACCTAAGTAAAGGCAATTGCATTCTTGCTTTGGAAAACTATTTTGACCCAACACATTCTTTGAGCTGACAGTAATGAGGTTCAAGTTTTTAAGAGATAACTAAGTAGTTTTTCTAAGTGGTTTAAAAAAAATGTGTGTGTGTATATATAGTATATATATATGTGTATATATGTGTGTGTCTATATGTGTATGTATGTGTGTGTATATATGTGTATATATTTGTGTGTGTGTGTGTATATATAGTAAGAAAAGTGTCAACCAGTTATTTAAGAAAGAGAAAATTATATTATTTCCAGGAATGATTTTTAAATGTGAACAGTTAGAATGAATAAAGAAAGAATGTAAAGCTAGGCTTGGTTATCCTGCTATATCTGCTATATGAAGAAATGCAAATCAGCAGTTGTAAAGACTCAGAAATCCTGCAGTGCACAAACCGAGTTAATTTCGTATAACCTTGTATTTCCCACTTGTTCTGTGATCGTAGGGAATCTATTAATATCTTCTGGGACACTAGAAATCTGCAAAACATATTTTGGGAAATGCTATATGTATTTGAACACCATTAATTCAGATATGTAGGGTGCAAACATTTGCATTGCCAAAATCTTAATATACAGAATCTTTAAAGAACGTAATAAACTTATACTTTCCTTTTTTTTTTTTTTTTTTTAAATGGAGAAACAAGGTCTCACTCTGTTGTTCAGGCTGGAGTGCAGTAGCATGATCATAGCTCATTGCAGTCTCTAAATTCTGAGTTCAAGTGATCCACCTGCCTTAGCCTGCTAAGTAGCTAGGACTGCAGGCTCACACCGTCATACCCAGCTAATTTCATTTTTTGTAGAGACATGGTCTCACTATGTTGCCCAGACTGGTCTCAAACTCCTGGCCTAAAGTACATTCTTCAATAAGTTAAAATACTTGCTGTTTTATGATAGTCTTGGAAAAAAAATAAAAGTTAAAATACTAATTGGTTGAGCTAGAAAGGACCCAAGTGTTTTTTAAACTATGTTCTTTTTTTTTTTTTTTTTGAGACGGAGTCTTGCACTGTCGCCCAGGCTGGAGTACAGTGGAGTGATCTTGGCTCACTGCAAGCTCCACCTCCCGGGTTCACCCCATTCTCCTGCCTCAGCCTCTCGAGTAGCTGGGACTACAGGCACCTGCCACCATGCCCAGATAATTTTTTTTGTATTTTTAATAGAGACGGGGTTTCACCATGTTAGCCAGGATGGTCTCGATCTCCTGACCTCGTGATCTGCCCACCTTGGCCTCCCAAAGTGCTAGGATTACAGGCGTGAGCCACCACGCCTGGCCTAAACTATGTTCTTTATCAGATGTTTTCCAAATATTTTCACCCAGTCTGTGGTTTACCTTTTCAGTCTCTTCATACTGTCTTTTGAACAGCAGAAGCAGGGCTGGGTGCAGTGGCTCACATCTGTAATCCCAGCACTTTGGGGGGCCAATGTGGAAGAATCGCTTGAGACTAGGAGTTCAAGAGAAGACTGAGCAACATAGTTAGACCCTGTCTCTAAAAATTACAAGAAGATTAGCCAGGTGTGGTTGTGGTTGTGTGCCTGTGGGCCTAGCTACTCGAGAGGCTGAGGTGGGAGGATTGCTTGAGCACAGGAGGTTGAGGCTACGGTGAGCTGTGATTGCACCACTGTACTCCAACCTGGGAGATAGAGCAAGAACCCATCTCAAAAAAAAAAAAAAAAAAAAAGCAAAAGTGATGAAATCTAATTTATTACATTTTTCTTATTTATTTATTTATTTATTTATTTATTTATTTATTTATTTTTGAGACAGAATCTCATTCTGTCACCAGGCTGGAGTGCAGTGGTGTGATCTCAGCTCACTGCAACCTCCGCCTCCCAGGTTCAAGCGATTCTCCTGCCTCAGCTTCCCGAGTAGCTCCCAGATAATTTTTGTATTTTTAGTAGAGACAGGGTTTCACCATGTTGGCCAGGATGGCCTCGATCTCTTGACTTTGTGATCTGCCCGCCTTGGCCTCCCCAAGTGCTGAGATTACAGGTGTGAACCACTGTGCCCATTCTACATTTTTCTTTTATGAATGTGGCATCTTAGAAGTCTTTGCCTAAATAAAGGTCACGAGGATTTTCTCATATGCTTTCTTCTAGAAGTTTTATAGTTTTAGGTTTCCAAATTCTTTTTAAATGTAATTTTATATGCACAATCTGGTACTTTTGCTTTACTGAATCCGTAATTTAAATTTAGTTTTATAACTTGCTTTTTTTCTTCTCATTACTATACCACAGTATTTTCATATCAGTAGTTAATTCTTTTGAATACCTACATGGTGTTCCATCCAAGAATGTATTACAATTGTATTAGCATGTTATCTGTTTTTTTCCTATTTTAATAATGTTCCAAGAGTTGTTTTAAAATTCAGTTGAAATTTTGGTTTCTATAAATTATTTCATTTTATTTATTTATTTATTTTTGAAACGGAGCCTCACTTTGTCACCCAGGCTGGAGTGCAGTGGCACAGTCTCGGCTCCCTGCAACCTCCGCGTGCCAGGTTCAAGCAATTCTCCTGCTTCAGTCTCCCGAGTAGCTGGGACTACAGGCACATGCCACCATGCCCAGCTAATTTTTTATATTTTTAGTAGAGACGGGATTTCACCATATTTGCCAGGTTAGTCTTGAACTCCTGACCTCAGGTGATCCACCCGCCTCAGCCTCCCAAAGTGCTGGGACTACAGGCATGAGCCACCGTGCCCGGCCAAGATGTGTTTTAAAATTCAGTTTAAATTTTGGTTTCAGCTGGGCGCAGTGGCTCACGCCTGTAATCCCAGCACTTTGTGGGGCCCAGGCGGGTGGATGGCCTGAAGTCAGGAGCTCTAGACCAGCCTGGCCAATATGGTGAAACCCTGTCTGCTAAAAATACTAAAATTTGCCGGGCATGGTGACAGGTGCCTGTAATCCCAGCTTTTCAGGGGGCCGAGGCAGTAGAATCGCTTGAACCCAAAAGGCGGAGGTTACAGTGAGTTGAGATCGCACTGTCACACTCCAGCCTGGGGGACAAGAGCGAGACTTTGTCTCAAAAAAAAAAAAAATTTTTTTTGGATTTCTATAAATTATTTTATAATGAAGCATTTCATCCTTGTACATTTTGAAGCACACTTAAAACATAAAAGTTTTGACATAAAGTTTTGACTTTTCAAATATATGATGAAAATGTTAGGAAAAAGTTATGATGTAAACAATTACTATTTTAAAAATTTTAAATAACTGTCTATCTTCTATCATAACCATATTGGATTATGCTCCCCTCCTGGTTCACACAGTCATAATAGACCTAATTAGAAAGCTATGATTTTACCAATTATTTCTTTTAATTCCTCGATTTATATGCTTTATTTTGACTTCTCTTTCAGCCCCTCCCACTTTTTAAGTCTCTGCAAAAAAAACTATTTGGTCTCTGTAATGAGGTTATGCTACTACCAAATGGGTAGTTAGATTTCTGAAAGACTATTTCTGTTACATCCCGTGTGCTGATTTTTTTTTTAATTACATGGCATAAATTTAGGGGATAAAAATTTCATGTTTTTTTAGAATTATTTTAATGCCATTTTATTTTTTCATGACAGATTCAAAAGCTTTGTGACAGAGTAGCTTCATCTACTTTATTGGATGATCGAAGAAATGCAGTGCGTGCTCTCAAATCATTATCTAAGGTTTGTAACTTTGTAAATGTTTTAAGTTTCTTAAGTTGGATATTAGTTACTTTAGTAACATTTTTATTTTTTATGTGCAGAAATATCGCTTGGAAGTGGGTATACAAGCTATGGAACATCTTATTCATGTTTTACAAACAGATCGGTAAGTCTCTGTGTAATTATTTTTTTCCCTAATATTTCTTGAAATTTTAGTTTGTTTTAGAGTCAGCATCACTATTCCAAAAGATTGCTGCTTTTTTTGGTAGAGATGGGGTTTGCCATGTTGCCCAGGCTGGTCTCGAACTCCTGGGCTTAGGCGATCTGCCCACCTTGGCCTCCCAAAGTACTGGGATTATAGGTGTGAGCCACTGCGCCTGGCCCCAAAAGTTGTTGACATACTAAAGCTATTAAGTTTTTACTCCAGTTGTCATTTTGATAAATATTTATTGGACACTGAGTACAAGCCACTGTGTTAAGCATAGAACAGACATAAAAATGGGATGAAGCAACTCTTTCATTTAGAGGCTTGAGATTTTGAGTTTGAATTGGGCAAGTGGTATTCATTTACGTTGGGCAAGTAGATATTCATTTACATATAATATACATATTTTGGTATTCAGACTTGCTTTTTGAGAGAAATAAACTGCAGTAATAAGAGTTAAATGTTAAATATGAGCCTGTCTTAAGAGAAAGATTGCCAGGTATGGTGGCTCAAGCCTGAAATTCCAGCACCTTGGAAGGTTGAGGTGGGAGGATTGCTTGAGCCCGGGAGTTCGATACTAGTCTGGGCAATATGAAAAATAAAAATTAGACCAGGAATGGTGGCTCATGCCTGGAATCCCAGCAATTTGGGAAGCCGGGGCAGGTGGATTACTTGAGATCAGGAGTTCGAGACCAGCCTGGCCAAATGGTAAAACCCAGTCTCTACTAAAAATACAAAAATTAGCCAGGCCCGCTGGTGTGTGCCTGTAATCCCAGCTACTCAGGAGTCTGAGGCAGGAGAAATCACTTGAACCCAGGAGATGGAGACTACAGTTAACCAAGATCGAGCAACTGCACTTCAGCCTGGGCAACAGAGCAAGGCTCTGTCTCACAAAAACAAAGAAGATAAATAATAAAATAAAATAAAAATTAGCTGGGTGTGGTGTCACATACCTGTGGTCCCAGCTTCTCGGGAGGCTGAGGTGGGAGGATCACTTGAGCCTAGGAAGTCAAGGCTGCAGTGAGCCATGATCATACCACTGTACTCCAACCTGGGCAGCAGAGTGAGACCTTGTCTTGAAAAAATAAATATAAATTTAAAGAAAAAGAAGCGGCCGGGCACGGTGGCTCATGCCTGTATTCCCAGCACTTTGGGAGGCTGAGGCGGGCGGATCGTCTGAGGTCGGGAGTTCAAGACCAGCCTGACCAACATGGAGAAACCCTGTCTCTACTAAAAGTACAAAATATAGCCGGTTATGGTGGCACATGCGTGTAATCCCAGCTACTAGAGAGGCTGAGGCAGGAGAATCGCCTGAACCTGGGAGGCAGAGGTTGCGGTGAGCCAAGATCACGCCATTGCACTCCAGCCTGGGCAACGAGAGCGAAACTCCATCTCAAAAAAAAAAAGAAAGAAAGAAAAAGAAGCATCATTTAGCCTATTTTTAGCTCTTTCAATTTTTTTTCGGGTTTTTTTTTTTTTTTTTGACAGAGTTTCATTCTGGTTGCCCAGGCTAGAGTACAATAGTGTAATCTAGGCTCACTGCAACCTCTGCCTCCCAGGTTCAAGCGATTCTGCTGCCTCAGCCTCCCAAGAACCTGGGATTACAGGCATGCACCACCATGCCTGGCTAATTTTGTATTTTTAGTAGAGATGGGGTTTCTCGATGTTGATCAGGCTGGTCTCGAACTCCCGACCTTAGGTGATCCACCCACCTCGGCCTCTCAAAGTGCTAGGGATTACAGGTGTGAGCCACCACACCTGGCCGTCAATTTCTTTTTAAGAGATGTTATCTCCATCTTTGGTTTTCATTAACTCTGCATGGATAGCTTCCAGATCTTAGCTACAGTCGAATGTGTCTTATAAGCTTTAGCTGCACATCATACATTTCTACCCTACCGAAATCTCTCATAAGCCTTTCAGATTCAAAATATTCAAAGTTAATTTATCTCTGGTCCTCCTTCTAGGCTTTCCATGCTCCCTTCAACTGCTTTTACCCTAAGTTCATCTCAGTCATGAGCATCTTTCCATTCAAGCGAGAAACTGGAGGATTCTTAGGGAACCCATTCCTCTCTTGAACCCATCATGCCTACATAGGCAAAAAAAAACAGCTAGAGTCCATTATTTTCTTTCCATTTCCTTTTTTGGCCTTAGTTCTGGCTCAATGTCAATCACTTAAATAATTTCCATAACCTCTGTGTTGGTTATCTTTGGCTGTGTAGCAAATTACTTTGAAACTTAGTGGTTCAAAATAAAATATTTATCATCTCACAGTTTCTGTGGATCAGGAATTGAGGAGCAACTTAGCTAAGTGAGCTGAGGGTCTCTCATGAGGTTGCCATGAAGCCATCAGCCAGGTCTGCAGTCATCTGAAGGCATGACTGGGGCTGGAGGATCTGATTCCAAGATGGCTTACTCACATTACTGTTGACAAGAGGCCTCAGTTCCTCACCATGTTTCTCTCTCAGTAGGGCTGTTTGATATGGCAGCTGCTCTCCCAGAGCAAACTATCCTAGAGAGATAACAAACAGAAAGCCACAATGCCTTTTATAACTCAATCTCCAAAGTCATGTACTGGCAATCCCATCATATTCTAGTTGTTAGAAGCAGGTTAATAAGTACGGTCTATACTTAAGGAGAGGAGAATTAGGCTTCACTTTTTTGAAAGGAGCTGAATCGAAAAGTTTTGGACATAGTTGAAAACAATCATCATCTCCAAAGTATTATTTTCCTCCAATCTCTTTGTATTTCCATTCAGTCTATATATTGCAAGAATTATCCTTCTGAAATGCACATCTTCAGTCTTTCTCCCATTTAATGCATTTCACCAGTTCAGTGAAGTGTTAAGTTCATGTTTCTCAAACAAAGCAAAAAATAAATGCTTTTAAAAGATCTGTGTACTGCCTGTCTAACCTCATAGATTCGTTTTCAGTTATATTTCAGTTATGCCCAGCTGCTTTTCCATACCAGTTAGGACCTTTTTTCTTCTCCCCAGTGTAACTCAAATTGACCACCTTTTCAAAACCAATAAGTCTAGTGTATTTGAATAAGTGAATTGGATGCATCAGGTCTCTCTGTGTTATTAACATCATAGTAGGTAACTGTGGTAGACAGAATTGTGGTCTCCCAAAGATATCTACATCCTAATCAACAAAACCTGTGAATTTTATCTTAGATAGTGAGAGAGATTTTGCAGATATGATTAAGTTAAGGACTTTGAGATGAGAGAATTATTCTGGATTACCCTGGTGGACCCAGTGTTATCACAGGGTCCTTAGAAGTAGAACAGGAAAAGGCCGGGCGTGGTGGCTGACACCTGTAATCTCAGCACTTTGGGAGGCTGAGGCAGGCAAATCATGAGGTCAGGAGATCGACACCATCCTGGCTAACACGGTGAAACCCCATCTCTACCAAAAATACAAAAAATCAGCTGGGCATGGTGGCGGGTGCCTGTAATCCCAGCTACTCAGGAGGCTGAGGCAGGAGAATGGCAAGAATCCAGGAGGTGGAGCTTGCAGTGAGGCAGGATGGTGCCACTGCACTCCAGCCTGGGCAACAGAGCAAGACTCTGTCTCAAAACAAAAAAGAAGTAGAACAGGAATGCAGAAGAGGAGGTCAGAGTCCTGTGATAGGAAAAAAAGACTCAACCTGCTCTTGGTGGCTTTGAAAATGGAGAGAAAGAGCCATGAGCCAGGGAATGTGGGTGGCCTTTAGAAGAGCTAGAAAAAAGAAGCAGATTAGTGTGATGATTATACATACATACAATCTTTTTTATTCTATGAGTGTGAAATCACACGCACATTTTATTACCGAGTCTTATAAAGTTAATGATGAAATGATTAATATCTCAGTATGGAAAAGAGAATGCATCTCTTATGTAAAGTGGTCTTTATTGTCTTTTTTGTTGTTTTTTTTTTTTTTTTGAGACAGAGTTTCACTCTTGTTCCCCAGGCTAGAGTGCAATGGCATGATCTCGGCTCACTGCACCCTCTACCTCCTGGGTTCAAGTGATTCTCCTGCCTCAGCCTCCCAAGTAGCTGGGATTACAGGCACCTGCCACCACAGCCGGCTAATTTTTTGTATTTTTAGTAGAGATGGGGTTTCTCCATGTTGGTCAGGCTGGTCTCGAACTCCTGACCTCAGGTGATCTGCCCGCCTCAGCCTCCGAAGTGCTGGGATTACAGGCATGAGCCACTGCGCCCAGCTATTGTCATTTTTGCCACACAGCAGAAGTGTGTAGATAGTCTTGATAAAGGTTAACTAATAGGTTAAAAAAATTTATTGCATATTTACTGTGTTAGGCATTATGCTTAGAAGTAGAGTATACCACATGGTCTTGTGAATGTGTGAACAAATAATTGTATCACGTCAGGGGCTGCTGAATGTTTTATTTTAACTCTCAGACAATAATAACAAAGAAAAACGTCTAATAGCCTTGTTGTGTTTCACTCCCTTTCTTGTGTTAAATTCCCTTTCCATTTGCCTGTGGTACTTACCTGTTTTCCTGTTTTCAGAGTGTTCTCTGAAGATTTTTTTAAATTTAATTGAATGCAGGGGTCTATTTATTTTATTTTATTTTTTTTTTAGACAAAAGTCTCACTCTGTTGCCCAGGCTGGAGTGCAGTGGCACGATCTCGGCTCACTGCATCACTGCAGCCTCCACTTCCTGGTTCAAGCGATTCTCCTGCCTCAACCTCTGAAGTAGCTGGGACTACAGGCACATGCCACTCCAGCTAATTTTTTGTTTTTTTGGTTTTTTGGTTTTTTTTTAGTAGAGATGGGGTTACACCATCTTAGCCAGGATGGTCTCAATCTTCTGACCTCGTGATCTGCCTGCCTCGGCCTCCCAAAATGCTGGGATTACAGGCATGAGCCACTGTGCTCAGCCTCAGAGGTCTGTATTCTACAACCATCTCCTCTCTCCACATTCTCATCTTCATTACTGTTTCATTTTTCTTCTCCTGACCTATACAACTAATGCTAAGAATCCTTACGCTGAACCCTCTTCATCTTCAGCTATGTCAAACAAAGTTTTGTTCCCTTTCTCAGCATTACCTGAAACCCCATCTGGCTGTGGGGTCTGCTTCCCTATAACCATTCTTTTTTTTTTTTTCCGAGACAGAGTTTCGCTCCTATTGCCCAGGCTGGAGTGCAATGGCTCGATCTCGGCTCACCACAGCCTCTGCCTCCCGGGTTCAAGCAATTCTTCTGCCTCAGCCTCCCAAGTAGCTGAGATTACAGGCATGCACCACCATGCCCGGCTAATTTTGTATTTTTAGTAGAGACATGGTTTCTCCATGTTGGTCAGACTGGTCTTGAACTGCTGACCTCAGGTGATCCGCCTGCCTCGGGCTCCCGAAGTGCTGGATTACAGGTGTGAGCCACCACGCCCAGCCCCCTATAACCATCTTAAGGAGAGACCGCTCATTCTCCTAACTCCCATACTCAGGGCCCAAAACTTGTCTGTCACTGATGTTTTCAAAACCATGATACCTCAATGGTTTTTTTAAATTGAGATATAATTTGTATATCATAAAGTTCACTCTTTTAAAGTGTAAATTTTAGTGGTTCTAATATATTCACAAAATTGTACAACCATCACCACTCTCTAATTCCAGAACATTTGCATCATGCCAAAAAGAAATCCCATATTCATTATCTGTCATTTTCTGTTTTCCTCCCCCACCCCCTCTCGCATACTTGGCAACCACTAATCTACTTTCTGTCTTTATAGATTTGACTGTTTTGGACATTTCATATAGATGGAATTATACCATATGTGGCCTTTGTTTCTGGCTTCTTCGACAGCATAGTATTTTAAGGTTCATCCATGTTGCAGCATGTATTAGTACATCTTTCTTTTTTATGGCTGAATAATCAATTGTTGGACATTTTGGGTATTTCCACTTTTTTGCTATTATGAGTAATGCTGCTATGAACATTCATGTACTGATTTTTGTAAGGACGTACATTTTCATTTCACTGTGTTCTGTATCTAGCAGTGCAATTGCTGGGTCGTGGGGTAAGTTGTTTAACTTTTTGAGGAATTGCCAAACTCTGTTCACTACAGAGTATAAATACTTGTATAAAATGGCTATAACATTTTATATTTCCATCCGCAATGTATGAAGGTCCCAATTTCTCTGTATTCTTACCAGCACTTGTTATTAACCTTTATTAAAAAGTGACCATCCTAGTAAGTATAAAGTGGTATTTCTTAATTTCTTTTTTTTTTTTTTTTTTTTTTTTTGAGATGGAGTCTCTCTCTGTTGCCCAGGCTGGAGTGCAGTGGCACGATCTCGGCTCACTGCAACCTCCGCCTCCCGGGTTCAAGTGATTCTCCTGCCTCAGCCTCCCCAGTAGCTAGGATTACAGGCATGCACCACCACACCCAGCTAATTTTTGTATTTTTAGTAGAGAAGGAGTTTCACCACATTGGCCAGGCTGCTCTCAGACTCCTTACCTCACGTGATCCGCCTGCCTTGGCCTCCCAAAGTGCTAGGATTACAGGTGTGAGCCACTGCGCCCTGCCTCATTTTCTTTCTTTTTTTTTTTTTTTTTTTTTTTTGAGGTGGAGTTTTTTTTTTTTTGCCCAGGCTGGGGGGCAGTGGCGCAATCTGGCTCACCACAACCTCTCCTCCTGGGTTCAAACGATTCTCCTGCCTCAGCCTCCCAAGTAGCTGGGATTAGAGGCATGCACCTACCACTCCCAGCTAATTTTTTGTATTTTTAGTAGAGACGGGGTTTCTCCGTATTGGTCAGGCTGGTCTCGAACTCCTGACCTCAGGTGATCCCCCCCGACCTCGGCCTCCCAAGCTGCTGGGATTATAGGCATAAGCCACCGCGCCCAGCCCAGCCTCGTTTTCTAATTGTTTTGATTTGCATTTCCCCAATGACTGAAGATGTTGACGGTGTTGTGATTATTGGTCATTTGGAGAAATGTCTATTCATATCCTTTACCCATTTTTAATTGGGTTACTGTCTTTCTGTTTTTTGTTTGTTTGTTTTTTGAGATGGAATCTCACTCTGTCGCCCAGGCTGGAGTGCAGTGGTGGGAGCTCAACTGACTACAGCCTCCACCTCCCAGGTTCAAGCAATTCTCCTGCCTCTACTCCCAAGTAGGCATGCACCAGCACGCCCTGCTAATTTTTGTGTCTTTAGTAAAGACGGGGTTTTGCCATGTTAGCAAGGCTGGTCTTGAACTCCTGAGCTCAAGCAGTCTGCCCACATTGGCCTCCTAAAGTGCTGAGATTACAGGTGTGAGCCACCACATCTGGCCTACTTGTCTTTTTTATTTTATATATATGTATGTATGTGTGTATATATATATTTTCTAGATACATCTCTTATCTTGGCTTATGACAACCTCTGCCTCCCGAGTTCAAGCGATTCTCATTCCTCAGCCTCCCAAATATTTGGGATTACAAGTGTGTGCCACTATGGCCGGCTAATTTTTGTATTTTTGGTAGAGATAGGGTTTCACTACGTTGGCCAGGCTGGTCTCGAACTCCTGAGTTCAGATCCACCCACTTTGGCCTTTCGAAGTGCTGGGATGACAGGCATGAGCCACCGCATGCGGCCAAACATTTTAAAATTTTGATGAAGTTTAATTTATCTGCTGTATCTTTTGTTGCTTGTGCTTTTGGTGTCATCTAAGAAACCATTGCCTAATCTAAGGTTGTAAGGATTTAAGCCTGTGTTTTCTTCTAAGGGTTTTATAGCTTTAACTCTTACTTATATTTAGGTCTTTCATCCATTTTGAGTTAATTTTTATCTATAGTGTGAGATGGGGCCCAATTTCATTCTTCTGTGTGTTGCTATCTAGCTGACCCAGCACCATTTGTTTAAGAGACTATCCCTTCCTCATTAAATGGTCTTGGCACTTTTACTGAAAATTAATTGAAATAAACATCACTGTTTATTTCTAGACTGTCAATTCTGTATTATTGATCTACATGTCTGTCTCTATCACAGTGCCACACAGTCTTTTTTACTGTAACTTCTTAGTAAGTTTTGAAACTGGGAAGTGTGAGTTCTTCAGCTTTGTCCTTCATTTTCAAGATTGTTTTGGCTGTTCTGGCTTTGTCCTTCATTTTCAAGATTGTTTGGCTTGCATCTCCATATGACTTTTATGATTAGCTTGTCAATTTCTGCAAAAACAGCATTTAGGATTTTGACAGGGATTATGTTAAATCTGTGACTTAAGTTAGAATATATTACTCTTTTCCTATTCATGAATACAGCATATCTTTTTATTTATTTGGGCCTTAAGTAGTTTCTTTCAACAATGTCTTGTAGTTTTCCATGTAGTAGTCTTATACTTCTTTAGTAAAGTTTACTGTCAAGTATTTTAATCTTTTTGATGTTACTTACTTACTTTTTGATGTTAATTACACATTTTTTACAGTTTGCACTCTGATGTTTTCTTAGAGTAGGCCTTTAGAAATGGAATTTTCTAAAATTGCTAAATAACTAAAAATGGTCGTAACAGTTTACACTCTCATCAGCAGTGTATAAGTGTAATAATTTCTTTTTTCCAGTTCGGATTCTGAAATAATAGGTTATGCTTTGGACACACTATATAATATAATATCTAATGATGAAGAAGAAGAAGTAGGTAAGTTTCCAGTTATTTTTACTGTGTTTTCTGTACATAAAATTAACTGGGTTGTGCTAATTTTGCTGGTTTTAAAGTTGGACTTATTTTATAAATGTGTAAGTTTTTTTACTTTTTTCATTAAAAGAATTTAATAAACACATAGGCTTAGATCTAGAAAAGTGTCTTTAGGATGATTGCTTTGTGTGTAAATCGTAACATTATAGTGAGATGGAATAAGATCCTTCTTTGTAAGTAGTATTTTTCCCCACTTGTGTTTGGTTTTAGTTAGGCAGTATGCATGTTAGCCAGTTCTAGATTAAATAATTATTTATGGCTATTGATTGAAAATATATATTATTATCTAGTGAGCAATATAAAATTAGAGGGTTTTTCCTAATAAATACTTAAATTTTTATGTAGGACTTATGTTAATTTATAAAGTGCAACAGTTTATTAAATTTAGATTTTTTTTCTTTACGTTATGTCTGTTTGGTGAACAATGATATGAATCAGTTTGAAATCCACACGTTTCTTTGGCACATTCATTTTTTTTTTAAATGCCTGCACACTTAACATAAAGTTGTCTGTTTTTATTTATTGTCACTGTGTGAAGCTTGATTAGAAGTCTGTATACATTTTGTCCTGTATACATTTTGTTCTATATGTTGCAAAACATATGCAGTAACATTTCACAGTTCTGTTGAAGAGTGTATTTGTCATATCAAATTGGCTGTTACAGTAGGACATAGTAGATTTTTCATTATTCTGTAAAGTCAGAACAGTGGATATATTCATATATTTTATAAATCTAATTTAGACTGAAATTATATGATCTCTCAAAATTCTGAGAAGACAGATAATAAAGAAGTATAGATACATATTGACTTTGCTCTTATTTTATTAAAATAAAGATAGAGCAGGAATATATGTCAATGTTAACTTCATAGAATACCAGTATTGAGAACATCTGAAACTGGATCATGTTGCATAGTCACAATTTCTTAGACATAAATATTATTTTTAAAAAACTTTTATTTTGGCTGCGTGTTATGGTTCATGTCTGTAATCCCAGCACTTTGGAAGGCTGAGGTGGAATGATTGCTTGAACCTAGGAGTTTGAGACCAGCCTGGGCAACATAAGTGAGACCCCATCTCATTAAAAAAAAATTTGTTTCAACAAATTTCTCCATATCTATCTATCCTATAGCTTATTAATTTCTTAAGGGTGAAAAATATTTAGTAAATGTAATTTGGTACCCATGGAAAAAAGGTTGTCAGTCACATGACAATACATATATACAAAACACACAAGAATATACTTTGAAGCAAAAGATACTTATTTTCCCTAGTTATTTCTACAATGAGAAAGTTAGATACAACATAGTTCTTCAAACACATTTTAAAAAATTACATTCTTTTCTTTCCTTTTATCCCCCTTAGTTGTTTCAGATTAAAAATTTAACTCTTTTTCTAGTTAATTTGCTGGGGTAATTTTTTCTGTTCTTAAAAAAAATTTGTAGCAACAATATTTTTTAGGTGGTTGTCTTTGTTATAAATCATGTTATAATCATGTTTAAGCCCACCTGTTTCATTTTTTCTTTGTGTTTTTAGGCTCTTTAATTTAGCATCCAAAAATGATCCTTTGGATAAACAGTAATAGAATCAGTTTTATTAAGGACCTTTTTTTTTTCTGAAAATGTAGTCATCCTGAAAGAGTCAATTAAAAAGTAGACATTGGGCTGGCCGCGGTGGCTCACGCCTGTAATCCCAGCACTTTGGGAGGCCGAGAAGGGTGGATCACTTGAGGTCAGGGGTTCGAGACCAGCCTGGCCAACCTGGAGAAACCCCGTCTGTACTAAAAACACAAAAAGTAGCCGGGTATGGTGTTACACACCTGTAATCCCAGCTACTTGACAAGCTGAGGCAGGAGAATCGCTTGAACCTGAGAGGCAGAGGTTGCAGTGAGCCAAGATTGCACTACTGCATTTCCAGCCTGGGCAGCAGAGCAAGACTCTGTCTTAAAAAAAAAAAAAAAAAAAAAAATAGGCCATTGTGGTGGCTCACGCCTGTAATTCCAGCACTTTGAGGCCATTGTGGTGGCTCACGCCTGTAATTCCAGCACTTTGGGAGGCCAAGGCGGGCAGATCACGAAGTCAGGAGTTCGAGACCAGCCTGACCAACATGGTGAAACCCTGTCTCTACTAAAAATATCAAAATTAGCCAGGTGTGGTGGCACACGTCTGTAATCCCAACTACTCAGGAGGCTGAGGCAGTAGAATCACTTGAACCCAGGAGGCAGAGGTTGCAGTGAGCCAAGATCACACCATAGCACTCCAGCCTGGGTGACAGAAGGAGACTCTGTCTCAAAAATAAAATAAAATAAAAATAAAAATAGACATTAAGACATGTCCTTCAGTTCTGTTATTGATACTTTGCTTTTATTGCTTTGTGAAATGGTAATTCTTAGCTGACATCATGAACTACATTTTGGAGTTCTTTATGACTATTTTGCAACCTTTTAATGATAAATCTGTCTCCTAGTCCTAAAAATATAGCATATGCTAAATCTCTTTTAGTATATGTGAGATATTTGACCAAAGTAAATATGGATCTCTTCTTCCAGAGGGTTATGTAGCTTATTAAACATTTTAATTTTAAGCTCCTATTTTACTGTGTATACTACTACATTAAAAAAACTGTTGTCTTTATCACCCGCTTTTTATTTATTTATTTTTGTCTACCTTTTCAGATGATGTTGAAGGTAAAAGATTGCATTTACATATGCATGGTGCTTTTAGGCATAGTTTCTGATAATATAAAAGGACACTGTCAAGTACTGTTTCTTCTGGCTGGTAAAAAATCTGAAATTTGTTTTACTATGTAAGAATTCTTTAATTGAAAAGGAATATTTAATAAACTTACATTACTATTATTTCTACAGCTACTAAATCTGTTTACTGTCCAGAGCACATAAAATATTCTAGGGCACCTTTAAATAAAATTAAAGCTTTTTCTGGCCGGGCGTGGTGGCTCACACTTGTAATCCCAGCACTTTGGGAGGCCAAGGCGGGCAGATCACTTGAGTTCAGGAGTTCAAGATCAGCCTGGCCAGCATGGTGAAACCCTCTTTCTACTAAAAATACAAAAATTAGCCAGGTGTGGTGGCTGGTGCCTGTAATCTCAGTTACTTGGGAGGCTGAGGCAGGAGAATTGCTTGAACCCAGGAGACGGAGGTTGCAGTGAGCCAAGATCGTGCTACTACACCATCCAGCCTGGGTGACAGAGTGAGACTCTGTCTCAAAAAAAAAAAAAAAAAAAAAAAATGAATAAATAAAAATTAAAGCTTTTTCTCTGGTAGGACAGTTTATCCAAAATTACTTTGTATGTCCTTCCTGGAAAAGAAGTTTTTAGACAGTTCATTTAAAAATACTTGCCAAGTGCAGTGGTGCATGCCTGTAGTCCCAACTACTCGGGAGACTAAAGTGGGAGAATCACTTGAGCCCAGGAGTTCGAGGCTGCAGTGAGCAATGATTGCACCTGTGAATACCCACTGCACTCAAGGCTGGACAACATAGTGAAACCCTGCCTCTAAAAAAAATAAAAATAAAAGTCTTTAAAAGTAATATTTGAATATGTATACCCATATTACCTATATTCAGTAAGAACTGGAAGGTATTCTAGTTCAGAGAATGTATGTTGATATTGTCCCTTTAAAATAATGCATGCTCAGTAATGATGTTTTAGTTATTGACATTTCTTACATTAACTCATAGAACTCACTAATTTTTTATTCTCTCTAATCTCTTTCAAGTTTCATTTACTTTTAACATTGATATTTGTTTTCTTCATAACTAAAGTAACCAAGTTTTTTTTGGTTTGTTTTGTTTTACCAATTTTCTTGAGGTGCTTAACTTTTTTTAAATGAAGAAGGAAATATTCTTACCTAAAGCAGTATTTAAAAGGTATATAACAAAGTTGCCTATATATAATAAAAATACTAACAAAGAAACTAACTTGTTAAAGTATGAAGCATTACCTTTTGTGACGTTCGAATCCTTTGTTTGACCTCAGATGATACCAGAGCATTGTGCCTTGACTCTTGTCAAGCTATTTCCTTGTTGGATGGTAAAGATCAGTAGTTGTTTCTATTTTTATGATATCATATTTATAGAGAGCTTTAAAACTTATCGAGTCCTTTCATGTTTATCTTATGTAATCCTCATAGCTGCCAGTGAGGTAGGTGGTATTTTTCTACTTTCTAAAGATGAGAAAATGGAAGCCCAGAGATGATGTAACATATGGTATCATTGAGTAAGTAGAAGAACAATTTTACTTTTTTTTTTTTGTTGAGACAGTGTCTCCCTCTGTTGCCAGGCTAGAGTGCAGTGGTGCAGTCTCAGCTCACTGCAGCCTCCGCCTCCTGGGTTCAAGCAATTCTCGTGCCTCAGCCTCCAAAGTAGCCGGGATTACAGGCGTGCGCCACCACACCCAGCTAATTTTTCTATTTTTAGTAGAGACAGAGTTTCACCATGTTGGCCAGGTTGGTCTTGATCTCCAGACCTCATGATCCTCCCTCCTTGGCCTCCCAAAGTGTTGGGATTACAGGCGTGAGCCACCACCGTGCCCAACCAGAACAATATTTTTTAATACATTTTTTCCTTCCTTTTTTTTTTTAAGTATTTCTTAGATTTTTAATTCAATAAATTATGGCCAATTTTTCTTTATTTTTCTAAATGGGTTCTTCATTGAATCATATAATTCACATAACTAGTTTATAGAATATTCAGATAAATGTTAAAAAGTATATGTGTACCTGGCCAGGCACAGTGATTCACCCTGCACTTTGGAAGGCCGAGGCAGGCGGATCACAAGATCAGGAGATCAAGACCATCCTGGCTAACACAGTGAAACCCTGTCTCTACTGAAAATACAAAAAATTAGCCAGGCGTGGTGGCGGGCCCCTGTAGTCCCAGCTACTCAGGAGGCTGAAGCAGGAGAATGGCGTGAACCTGGGAGGCGGAGCTTGCAGTGAGCCGAGATCACGCCGCTGCACTCCAGCCCGGGAGACAGTGCGAGACTCCTTCTCAAAAAATAAAAAAAAGTATACGTGTACCTGTTTAATTAACTACCAGTATAAATGAAGATTATTTGATACTTCTTCACTCTGAGTTAGGACTCTTTTTATTAGGATATCTCGTTTTATAAAGCAATTTCCTTTTTTCATAATATAGGTTGTGAACTTAGTATAAAGTAGATTTCCAAAGAGAAGATCCAGAAATGTTTTTAAACATTGTTTACATCTCTGGAAAAAGTACTACTAGAAATATATTTTTGCCGGGCGCGGTGGCTCAAGCCTGTAATCCCAGCACTTTGGGAGGCCGAGACGGGCGGATCATGAGGTCAGGAGATCGAAACCATCCTGGCTAACACGGTGAAACCCCGTCTCCACTAAAAAAATACAAAAAAAAAAAACTAGCCGGGCGAGGTGGCGGGCGCCTGTAGTCCCAGCTACTCGGGAGGCTGAGGCAGGAGAATGGCGTAAACCCGGGAGGCGGGGCTTGCAGTGAGCTGAGATCCGGCCACTGCACTCCAGCCCGGGAGACAGAGCGAGACTCCGTCTCAAAAAAAAAAAAAAAAAAAGAAATATATTTTTAGAGTAAATGTATCTATGCATGTGTACTTAAATGCCAGTCATATGAACAGGCCTGAAAACTATCCAGAGCTATACAAATGATGGTTCAACTTAACGATTTTTTGACTTACGATGGTGTGAAAGCAATATGCATTCAGTAGAATCTATACTTCGAGTACCCATACAGCCATTCTGTTTTTTCACCTTCAGTACAGTAGTCAGCAAATTACATGAGATAGTCAATACTTCATTATAAAATAGGATTTCTGTTATGTTTTGCCCAGCTGTAGGATAATGTAAGTGTTCTGGGCACATTTAGAGTAGGTTAAACATATTAAATACATTTTCAACCTATGATATTTTCAGTTTATGATGGGCTTATCAGGACATAACCCCATTGTAAGTTGAGGAGCATCTGTGTAAGTACTTAGAATGGGCATTTTTTTATTTTACATGCCTATCTTAAATTTGTTTTTACTATGGTAACAAAGGGCCATTTCATTTTTATCTTATTTTTTTCATTTACCTTACAATAAATGGTCATTTACTTTTACAGGTTATAAATACACAATATAGTATATAAACTGTAGGCTATAAAAAACTTAGCTCTAAAGGTTGTAATCTAATGATTACTGATGAGGGAAGATGGGTTTACTTGTTTCATGCCTTTGCTTACACATATAATAGGTATAATTTCTCATGGTTCTAGTTTTTGTTCACAACTTTCAGATATTAGTGTAGTAGTTTATAGTAGTTGTAGCTTAATTTACTGCTACATTGAAAGCTTTGTGTATTACCTTAATTGCTTAGCTAATTTGGGGATACTTCATTAAAGTTCAGAAGTGCTGTCTTATGACTAACTTAAAAGAAATGGCGTTATGTCTCACACTTTTTAAAATTGACAGTGTTAAACCAGAAGGAACAATTGATCCTTGGAATAGGACCATATTTTACTAGTTCAATTCAAAATGTAAATTTTAATTCTATACTGATAAGCTACAGCATATTATACAATATAACTGCAGAATAAATTAAAGATATTAACTCTGCTTCTTGCTGAGTCACTTGCTTGTGCCCAGTGCAAACACTGAATTAAACTTTTTCTGGTATTAGACCTGCCTTCCTTGAAGCATAGCACAGAAGTTCTAGAGAGTGCTCTGTATTAAAACAGGTTCATAGTTAAATAAACATAAATACTATGTTCCCCTCTGAAGTTTCATAAAGTTTACACTGGTCTAGTAAGTGCTGAGAAGCCTGCAGTGAAGAAACCTGTTCAACTTTAATCCAAATATATTTGTCCACAGGGGCTTACTTCTGCCACATACTTATTAACGTGCCATACTATCCTTTGTTTTGAAATATACTAACCAAGGCTTGGTTAGTTGCTTGTGTTTACATACATAAAAATATTTCAGCATTTTAAAATACATTTTAGGGGAAGAATCCATCAAGTCTATATATGGTTTTTTTCTTCCTTTTAAAATTTGTTTGTAATTTTTAATGTTTTCCCAAATGTCAATAACTATAATTTTTAGCTTTTCTCACGAGGTCACAAACTTTTGACCCAAGGGCATTGTCTGTCTTATAAGCAAGGCTGTTTGACCCATATAGTATTTTAAGTAATGTGACTAAGTTGCCAATATTATAAATTGGGAGCTTTGTGTCAATGTTTGTATTTTAGACTTCATTTTTTAAAAACCTGAAGATTGACAATACCTGGATCTGCATTCCTACGTGGCAACAGGCAGCTGGAACTGAGTAACTGCTGTTTTCCTTAGATAGGGCATATACTCCCCATTCTGTAATGTTAGCCTGCTTCACTCACTCCCATTACTGTCTTTTGTTTATAGTCAAGTTTTCATTCTCTACTATCTTCACACCACTGAGATAAAAATACTTATACTATAAATTATTTTCAAACGCATGATTTTTTAAGCTATATATCCCATTCAACAAATATGACTACATGCAAACGGAAAATAGCCCTACAAAGCACCCATGACTAAGTTAATGTTGCTGTGATTTTAATTTCTAGAGAGAGACAATTCTGAGAGAGAATATTACTTGTCTTTTGAACATAGATTTCTGATGTATTTGGAGAGCAATGCATTTGACATGCATTCCCCATG